ACGTAGCACTGCTGACGATGGGATCGAGGGCTCCGAGACTCCTCCTGAGGCCGGCCGAGGCACTACGGCACATCCTCGAGATGGGTTCGAGAGCTCCGGTGCCGTTCTTGATGGAGTCGGGGTCTCCGGTCTCTCTGATCTTGCGCGTGACCTTGTTCTGGCAGACCATCTTCTCGTCCTTAGTGTTCTGAGGGGATCCCGAGACCCTGACCCGTTCTAATCTGGCCCGCTGAGCTAGTGACCCGTTCGCGCGGTTAAGCTCGAGCCCGATCGATGCCCGCACGGACTCGAGGTGACCGGGGATGGTGATGACGAGGATGGGTACGATGATGTACTCAGTCACCTCTCCGCTGGCGCTCATCATAGGCGGTGCCTGGCCAGCCCGCAATCTGAAGGAAGATGCTGTCAGAAAAGGATACTTCTGAAGCGCACTCTCGGGAGCCTCGTGGCTGCCGCGTGTCTCTCGCACTATGTCTGCCATGCGATGGCCCGATCCGAGCTTGGTGACCGGGGTATCCTGGGACAGATACTGCGAGATCAGAAGATTGCGCGGCAAATCCAAGACACAGCCGAGGAAGTCTAGCAAGTTCACGCTCAGGATATGCGGCACGTCCTCGTTCAAAACGGTGGTCTCCACTACGCCCATCACTCCTCCAAGACACAACGGATACAGGATGGTGCAGAGGACCTTCGCCTCGCCTCCGATGCCGTGGGCCTTCTTGGGTGCCTTGAACTCGCTGGACACCACCACGTAACGTAGGCCGTACTTGGCGAGTGCCTCTGACTCACGATTGAGCGAAGGCAGCCCCACGATGTCGCTCCCCGCGCCCGGGTCCACCAGGCCCTGAGTCACGGCGGCGTTCAGGTAGACGTCGCTGGACTCGACCTCCGCCTGCAGGTTCCTCAGCCTCTCGATCACGTCGGAGCTCAGAATGGGGAAGCTGCACCCGTCGAAGGTATAGCCCGTCATGCCCCGGCGAGGTCGATCCGAACGCCTAGAATCATCCTCTTTCCGGGGATTGGGACACTCCCGGGCCCAGTGGCCCTTCTCCTTGCAGTTCTTGCAACGGGTCACCTTCATCAGTCGAAGGATCCGCGGGTTGGTGCCTGAGCTGCCGTCGTGTCCTCGCTGTCGGTCTCCGCGACCTCGTCCGCGCCCCTTGCCCCGGGCACCTCCGCGGCCTCCTCGGTGTCCGTCGTCGCCTCCGCGTGGCTGCCTGGCTCCGTAGAACTCGCGGTCCTGCTTGGCGGCCCGCTTGAGGTCTTTGTTCTGCTTCCAGGACCGGCGCTGAACCTTGCCGGTCATCTGGATGAACGCCTCTGTGGCCTCGTCCTCCTCGAGGTCGAGGTCTTCGATCTCTGCCAAAATGGCCATGACGTCCGACTCCGACAGCTCGTCGTCTTCCTCCTCTGGTCCCTCCTCTGACTCGTCGTAGTACGACTCGTCGTCTTGCTTCGCAGTCCCGGAGCCCAGGGCAGGATAGGCCTGGGAGGGAGGAGGAGGAGGGGAACTGGATCCGTCGCCCAGGCCGTCTTCTGCGGCCAGGACGGGATGGGACGAGCTGCCGCCGGGCAGCAGCTTCTCGCCACTGCCGTAGTCAAGTTGCCTGAGAGCCCAGGCAACATCACTGTACTCGAGGCTGCCCTTCGTCAGCGCTCGAAGGTTCTGCTGGCCCTGAGCGCCCAAACCGGCGCCCTCCTCGAGCATGAAACCCTTCATCCGGTTGGACATCCAGATGTCGTGACCCTCGGCCTCCTGCATCTGCTGCTCCCTCCTGGCCACGAACTGTGTGAGGCTCTCCTTGGCGCCACGGGTGCACTCAAATAGAGCTCGACGACCTGCCCGTCGCATGTCGTCACCCTCGCGCTCACCACTCATGATGTCCATCCTGGTCAGGAGGGTGTCCAACCACTGCTGGCTGCACAGGACGCCCTCGCTGATGTCTTCAAACTTGGCCTGCATCGCCCAGTCAAACAGCTTGAGGAAGCGCTCGGAGCGCCGCCACAGCTGCACATCTGTGTTCCGATTCCAGCGCTGCATGGCCTTCTTCCACAAACGGTAATGCCCCGCCGCCGTCGGCCCAGCCGGAGCCTTGCCAGCCGGAGTCCTTCCAGTTGGAGTTGTCCTTCCAGTCGGTGTTCTTCCAGTTCGACTCCTGCTGCTGCTGATCCGACTGATCTCTCCCGCCGTCCTTGGACTCCGGCTGCTCTCCACGCCTCCAGGGGTCCCGGCCGGCGTCGCTCCACGGGTCCTGGCCTCGGGAGCTGTCTCGCCCGCCTGGATCGCCGCTGGGGCGCCCGCTGCTTCGATCATCTGCGCCTCCAGCTCCGCCGCCCTGTCTCGGACCCAGCGCCTCCTGCACGAGCTGCTGCACCAACTCCTTGAGCTGATCTGGCAGCTGGCCGCCTGAGCCCGAAGCCTGAGCTCCGGTAGCTGGGGCGCTGCCGCCTGCAGTCGTCCCCGACTGCTGCGTGCCCCCTGGATCGATCACAGCGTAGTTCTTGCTGCCGTCTTCGTCGTCTGCTGGCATACTCTTGCCGTGGATCCGCGCTCTGTCCAATTTGATGAGAGCAGCGCTCGCGCAGCAGCCCGAGCTGCTCCTGGCACCACCGCTGCCTAGCGGTGCCTAGGAGCGCCCATGCCGGCCGCGCCGAACACTGCTCCGCTACCAACTGTGGCAGCAGCAGGATGAACAGATGTACTTTTGGCCTTGAGCCACAACGACGAAGTACAGTACAACCTTCCCTGAGTGTCATAGCGGACAATCCTGGCTGCCCCGTGAGCTGGAATGCTGGGCTATACAAGAAAGATCAATGTGCTAAACCTATCAAAGGACACCTATCACAGATAGCTACGAAACCCTCAACAACCCAACGAGCTGCCCAGTCCCACCTGGTTGCGCTTACTCTGCCTATCCACCGTGCCTCCCAGGAACACCCGAAAGTGGCGGCAATCGCGCCTTTCGCAGCCACCCAGGGAACAGCGCAGGAGGCGGCATGAGGGGGGGGAAAACGGAGAAGGAGTCGCGACCGCAGTGCTCTAGTCAAAACGAGAACCCAACGCAATAGGGTTGGGAAACTTATCCGAGACGTACCCAATCCCTGCTCCACGCGAAGGAAATATTTGCATGGACGCCCCATGCAAAAGAACACGTTGCCACATCTGCACGATCTGCGCTGCCCTCATGTCCCCGTGCTTCCCACGAACTTACGAACATAATGACACTTGAGAACTTTGTAACCTCCCCGGGAGCCGCGAAGTCCCGCTTGGATCCGCGTGCTCCCCCACTCCACCGTGCCTCCCAAGGGCCCACGAAAGTGGCACCAATTGAGCAATTCGCAATCCCCCAAGGAGCAACGAGGTTCTGCCTGGATCCGAGCACTCCCCCCCTCCGCTGTGCCTCACGAAAGAGACACCAATTGCGCCATTCGCAGTCACGCAGGGAGCTGCGAGGTCTCCGTTGGGTGCGCGTACTCCCCGACCCCAGCGTGCCTCCCAGGAGCCCATTGATGGTGACAATTGTGCAATTCGCGACCACGAAGCGAGGTCCCGTCTGGGAAACGAGGCCTCCGACTCCGCTGGCTTCCCAATTGCCCATGAAGTGGTAGCAGCTGCGCAGTCCGCAACCTCCCAAAGAACAACGAAATCACGCCTGGGTTCGCGTACTCCGCTACAGAGCCGTACCTCCCATGAGCCCACGAAAAGGGCGACGGTTGCGCAGTTCGCAACCACCCAAGGAGCAACGAAACCTCGGCTGGGTCTGTGTACTCTACTATTCCGCCGTGACTCCCAAGAGCCCACGAAAATGACGATATTGAGCAATTCGCAGCCCCCCAATAGGCACCAAGGTCCCGCCTGGGCGCGCGTACTCCGTGATGGAGCCGTGCCTCCCAGGAGCCCATGAAAAGGGCGACGGTTGCGCAACTCGCAACCACCCAAAAAACTGCGAGGTCCCGCCTGGGTGCGCGTACTCCGCTACTCCGCCGTGCGCCAGCTGCGCAAATCGCAATCCCCAAGGAGCTGCGAGGTCCCGCCCGGGTGCGCGTACTCTGCTACTCCGCCGTACCCAGGAACCAACGAAAATGGCGACGATTGCGCAATTCGAGCTGCGAGGTCCCGCTGCCTGGGTCCGCTTACTCTCCGACTCCGCTGTGCCCCCATGAGCCCACGTAAGTGGCGCCAATTGCGCAGTTCGCAGCCACCCAAGGAGCAGCGCAGAAGGAAGCAGAAGTAGGAGGAGGAGGGAGGAGAAGGTGTGCGACCGCGGTGCTCTAGTCAAAACGAGAACCCAACGTTGGAAGGTTGGGAAACAGAATCGCCGGCCAACGACTTCCACAAAAGCGCGACTCCAATCCATGCCGCGGAAATGCGCACCTCCTTGAACACTTACCCCCGCGCAATCGCTTGCCCCACTTGTCCCCCTCTATCTCGCTGGCAGGCTCGTGTGCGCATTTATACGCATTCGTTTCTGAACGGCTGCTTGAAATTTCTTCTGTAATGATGTTTGACATGCTATCCCGATGCAGCCAAAATGCCAAAATCACGTGGCTTGCGTGTGCATGGCCAACCATAACTACATGACCATTGCGGATCCTCCGCGGCTGTGCCAGGAGGATCAAGAAGGTCCGGTAGGTCCGCCTCAATGATCTCCTCGAGAACAAGACCAGGCGGAAAAATCCCCAGATCAACCTTCCGTAGAAGAGCAGGACGGACGGACGGACGAATGGACGCTCGCATGCGCGCCAGGGCGAGGGCTCTCTAGGAACGGAGCGGTGGCGTCGAAAAGCCGAGAATTCGATTCTGAAACGAGAAAGAACTCTAGTAGTGCAGCGTGACCGTGGGACAAGTTGGACGGGAGAGAAACACCAAAGAGCAGACGCAAGAAACGAGTAACAGCTTCAGGACAAGCCGAGGATGGAAAAGAGGAGGCTGAATCAGAGCAGGAGGAGCGGGACGATGACACTCACGATGTATGCCCGCAGATTGAGGCGGGGGGCGCCCTTGATCGTGGGGACGGTGTTCGGGAGGTGCGGGGGCACGTAAGGCTTCCTCGCCGCCTGAGGGCGACCGTGAGCTTGCCAAGAGGCGCGCCAGGGAGGGCGAGGGCGGGGGCTGTGACGCGCGCGTGCCTCTTGGGCCGCGCAGCAGTGGTGTCGGCCGCGGAGGGGTAGAGGTGGGTGTGTGTGTGTGTGGGTGTGTGTGAGTGCGTGTGTGCGAGTGAGTGTCGCGCCCAAGGTTCCTCTGTGCCGCCCGCTGAAATAGTGCGAGTGTGTGTGTGTGTGTCACCTTGCATTTGCCCCTTCGCCGTCGTAGATTCCTGGTCCTTCTCCCCACCCGTGCTGCTGCCCCGCCGGATGCCCGCGCTGCACAATGTCGGTTCCTCCTCTCCGCCGACCATGCCCGGTCGGCTATGTGCTGCCACCAACCGGCTCGCGCTGCGACCACCGCGTGGGACGCTTCCGAGGCGGACAACGTTTTTTCCCTCCCTGCCATCCTCGCCAGGATGGCGATGGCTGCCGATACCTAGAATGGCACATGCGGCGATTCCAAAGCAATCCCGCTTGAGGGACCAAGCGCGCGCGCCCGCTCCCGCTGCGTTCGACGTACTTCGCCTCGTCGCAACGCGCCAGGCCACGACTGCCAAACGTACATATACATATTACATACATATACATATATATATATATATATATATATATATACAAGTGGCACGTGTGTGCCCAGGCTCATACAACAAGCTGAAGGGGCGTTTGAAGCAGGAGTGACATGCAACAGCGAAGTCGCACTCGAGCGCAAGTGGGGTTGCCACACCTTGCGATGTGTGTACCAGGGCCCCCCAGGAAGCCTCAGGAGGCCCGACTTGGATACCAGAAGAGGCTCCAGGAGGCCCCAGGATTGTGAGTGTTGTGTGTGTGTGTGATGTGTGCTTTGTGTGGTGCGTGCTTTTTGCGTGTTGTCGGTGTTGTGTGTGTGTGTGTATGTTATGTTTGTCTAGCGTGTGATGTGTTGGGCGTGATTTGTGTCTCTGTGTGTGCATGTAGTTCTGAAGCCCCAGGAGGCCCCAGGAGGCCCCAGGCGGCCTCAGCAGGCCCAGGAGAACTCCAGGAGGCTCCGAGGCGGGGTCTGGGGTACCAGAAGGTCCAGAAAGCCCCAGGAGGCCCCAGGAGGTTCCAGGAGGCCCCCAGGAGGCTCCGAGGAGGGGTCTGGGGCTCGATTTTGGGAGGATGTCTCAGGCGAAACCGCCATTCTCTGAGAATCGGAGTCAAAATCATTGAAATTACCATTTGTTTTTGAAGGTTTTATGATAAAATGTTGGAAATCCTATGTGTTTTTGGACCCTGACGTCACGATCTGCGTGAGGGGTGCCACCGATTTTCAGAATTTCGAGGATGTCCCGAGCGAAACGGCCAGAAAAATCGCGAACGACGGACGCATTAATCGCCTCTGAGCTCTACTCCCTCGGAGAGGTGCGTATGAGAATATATATATATATATATATATATATATATATACAAGACTGCAGTGGCGCTTCGCGCCATGCACCTTGTTGGTCCTTGAAGTTTGGAATGCAGGCGGAATGGCAGGAAGGTCAAGCCCACAATTTAGCGATAACTCCTGGTTGCCTTTTCCGGCATCGCCGCTATAATGATGTTATTCGTTATCTTTCCTCCACGCTTATTGTTCCTTATTTTCGCCATACCCTGCGCATTCTCCCCATCCTCCTCAGCTCTTTTTTGCGGAGGCTCCTCCTTGGAGAGCCTCTAGGGGCCTCACAAAAGTTGTTTCGGGCTTTCTTAAGGCCTTCTGGAGGCCTCCTGGGCGTATTCTGGGGGCCTCCGGGGGCGTCCTCGGGCCACCTTGCCTCTAACCGCCGTCTCCCTGAACGACCGAATCACGTTTTGGAATTCTTCGGAGGGTGCCTTTGGGCCATCTGGGGCTCTCTGAGGGCCATCTTGGACCCGTGTTGTGCCGTTTTGGGGCCCTCTTGGACTGCTTGGAAGCCCTTTCGGATGGTTGTGGGGCGATTTGGGAGCCTCCCAGGCGGCTTCGGACGCTCGGAAGACCGCCGTCTTGGAGCTTCGCCAAAAAACCATGGAAAATCTATGATTTTTGCCTCGGGGGGGGCCTTCTTGGAAGTGCTCTTGGAGGCCTCTTTGGGGCCGTCCTGGAGGCCTCTTGGGCAATCTTGAGGTCACGTCGGTCACTCTTGGAGCGCTCTTGTGCTGTCTTGGGAGTCTCTGGGACGTCTCCGATGACCCCCCTGATCGCCGTAAGTGTGCTGGGAATGCTCGGCAAAACGCCTTGCGATGCCCAGTGGCCGCTTCGAGGCCCGTCCGGAGGGCCCCAAAGCCCCAGGTCCCGGGAGTCCGGTTTGGGGGGGGGACGGGTTTTCCCCCCGCCCGGGCTTACAAAAATATAGGAAGAGGAATATATGTATGTATATATATGTGTGTATATGTGTATATATTTATATACATATACGTATATATATATATATATATATATATGTATAGAGAGAGGTGTGCGTAATTAAACATATGTGTATAGATATATATATATATACATATATATATATATACATATATACATATACATATACATAAATTTGCGTGTGCGTGTGAAAATAATCGCAGAGGGCGCGCGGGGAAGAGGGCAGGGCAGCAGGGGGCGCGGGGGGGGGAGCTCGATGATGAGGGGGATAAATGGGCAGGGGGGGGGGCGGGCGAATGCTTGGGGGGGAGATGAGGGGGAGGACGGGGGGGGCAGAGGGAAGGAGGCGGGGGAGGGGCGGGGAAAGAGGAATGGCGGGGAGGCGGGAGGAAGGGAGGCGACTACCCTTTGGGATGTTCCCACTTTGTTGTCTCGTCGTGTGCCGTTTGGACACAGAGCTTCTAGAAATGATACATTCACCTTGGCTTTCAGATTGTACAAATGACTACAAAAACTGGGCCGTGGCTCCAAACAGTGTCCTTATCATTTTCAGTGCAGATGGTTCCGTTGTGCATTTTCCAGCAGCAGAACAAGGCAGGAGGTATAATTCGCTGTAGGGGGCTATCCCACACCACGGACAAGGAAAACGAAGCACCAGGCTAATGCAGAAATATCGCCGAAGCCGTGCAGCAAGCCTGCTCCACGAGCTGTCCTGCGAGCGTGGCCGAAACACCGTCAATCGAAGTCGACCGCGAGGCGGAGAGACCAAACACCAGCAATAGCCATGGACTCGGGAAGAGGGGGGAAGGAGGAGAGGAAGGAGGGGGGAAGAGAAATCGGAAAAAAAACAGCAGGTTGTGGGCGCTGGCCGCACGCTGATACCGGACGGTGGAGCGAAGGAGGGGGAGGAGGAGGCAAAGCGACAAGGGGAAAGCAGACACAGTTAAACGCATGGAACATCGGATGTTGGGGTGCACGCACCCGCCAAGTATATATGCTAAGTCTGCTGGTGGGCACTGCGGCGCCCGGCGGACGCGACGCTGCACCGCAGCGGCTGACAAGGGCGAGCCTGGGCGGCTAAAGCGACTCAGGGTCGGCCAGCAGCGGCCGCAAGCACCACCGCGCAGTGCCCGTGCAGGCAATAGAATCGAAGCTACGTACCAACTCAGGGAATGGGGGGAGGAAGAGGAGGGAAGGAAGGAAGAGTGGTGCACGCGCCGAACGTCGCGGCCGATCCTCATGGCCTCCAGGCAGCGTGGACAAGTTGACACGCCAATTCAAAGCCGAAAGCCTTGAAATCCCTACGCACGCTGCACCGACTACGAGCCCTCCGCAGTCCAAATTTGGAACTCCCAGTGGATGAATTCGGGGGCAGCGAAGACGAGACAAGCAGAGGAGAAGGCAGAAAGCCGGCCTACCCCACCATGGTTAGCTGGCAATATTCGGCATCCGGGAGGAGAGAGCCGGAGGACAGAGACAAGGGGGGAGGAGTGCCAATCGTTGTCGACGGGCTCGGAAGGCACTGAGGCCACAGCCAACTTCGATCAAGAGATCGGCTGCGCTGCACTCCGAGCTGCGGAATCCATGTCACGGACTGGTTGTGCCGTGGCCGCAGCCATGTGACCCGGATAGCGGCTCGGAGATGCAAATGTCTCGAGCCGCGGGCGCGACGTCGGAGAGGGAGGGAGGGAGGAGGACGCAAGGAAGAGAAAAGGGAGAGAGGAGGGGGGGCGACTGCGCGCTCGCAACGAGCGAAACCGTGCGGACACCCTGATCGGACTCGCCATCCAGAGACACAAGCGGCATGCGAGAGCGTTGTCCTGCGATGATGGGCGCTCGAGCGGGCACACAAATAATGCCCCCCCCCACACACACAAACACACACATTCACATGCATATTCACATTCACATTCACATTCACGTTCACGTTCACGTTCACGTTCACGTTCACGTTCACATTCACATTCACATTCACATGCACATCCACGTCCACATCACATCCACATCCACATCCACATCCACATCCACATCCACATTGACATTGACATTCACACACAACACACACAGAATACACACAACACACAACACACACAACACACACACAACACACAACACACACACACACAACACAAAACTCACAAGTACATGTCACGGAGTCGGTGTGTGCAAATGACACAAGAATCATTCAAAATGGTCCCTTGGCCGCTGGGGGTCCGGAGCGTTCACCCAAATACCGACGCACAAGCACGGCGGACACGAGGAGGAGAGGCAGGAGGAAAGAGGGAGGAGGAAAAGGTGATGCGTCGATTCCCGTCGGCTGTTGGGGTTCCAGCCACACTCGAATATCGCAGAGACGCGCGGCACCCGCGGAAGCGCAACTGCGCACAGCACTCCATGCTGCGCGGCACGGCTCGTGCACACACGGAGGGAGGAGGGGGATGGCTTCGCATTGCTTTCTAAAAGCAAAGATTTCTCTTTTAGTTTGGTTGAACGTCAACATATGTCAGTTCGCCCGCCCAACGGGCCAAAGGCGTGTCAATATCTCCGGTAACTACTTCAAAAGTTTTCTAATTCGCGCGCGCGGGGCCGCCCCTGGGGGGCCCCGGATCAAAATTATCCCAGTGCG